GGTCAGTCACACCCTGTGTCCATGGAGTGTCTGCTGCACATACTGTGACTGCGTCCTGGTGGCTCTGTCTGTGTCTGTCACTCAGCAAGTACACAATGCCACCTTTGCCATGACTACACATATCCCCTCCCTAGGCCACCTCAAAGCAGCCCTTTGCTGGACACCTTCTGGGAGCCAGTGAAGTGGCCAGTGACCAGAAGATTGTAGGTCAAGTTCATGGAGGAGGAAGGGAAGGAGGGAACAGAAACATGCAAGGGCTAAAAGGCACCTCTCATGCTACAGATATGTCAAATGGGAAAACAAGACCTTCCACATGCAAATAAAATCTGCCACTGGCTCACTAGCCGATATATATCACATAAAAGACATTGTTCCCAGGCCAGTGAACACTGGAGCTCCTGGCCCCTGGCACAGGCACACAGGAAGCCCTGCTTTCAGGAATAGGAGACTGAGATCACACCAAGCTGTTTCTGAATGTTAGCCTCAAAGCTTAGCAACTGGGGTAGGAAACTGAATTTCCTCCAACTTTGGCCAAAGCACCTGTGCCATGAGGTTAAACTACCTTAATTCACTGAGCTGTTCAGGAGGTACCAGGAGACAAAATCAAGAAAGAAAACCCTTGCACCCTCAACATGTCCCAAATGTTGAACGCACATTTAAAGAAAAGATATCCAGGGCTGGCGAGATAGCTCACTGAACCAAAGCGCCTGCTTAGGCAAACTTAGGCAAGCACAGAGACGACAGTTTGATCCCCACCACCACATGCTGCACAAGCCTTGCCCCCAGGGTGGACTGAGCCAGCTAGAGTGTGGGCATAGAGGTGCATGCCTGTAATTCCTGTGTTGGGAAGGCTGAAAACAGGAGGATCACTATGAGTCTGAGCTGCATAATGAGACCCTGCAACAACCAAATACATTTTTATTTTTATTTTTTGGCAGAACGAGGGATTGAACTCAGGCCCTTACGCTTGCCAGGGAAGCACTTATTCCACTGAGCCATCTCCCTGGCCCCCAAATACATACATACATAAATATATATACAATTGAGTGAAAAAGAAGTTATTGAATGTATTAGGGTATTCAGAAAAATACAATATATATGTCTCACAAAATAAATATGTACAAGGGGAGAATTTATCATCAGGAATTGGATCATACACGGTTATGGGGCTGGAAAGTCCAAGTTTAAAATCTGCAGGGTGGGAGCCAGGCACGGCCTCAAACTCAAGTGGTGATCCTCCTGCTGAAGGAGGCTCAAGCCTGTGCTCCTGGCAGTGGCTGCTCCCAGTGGAAAGGAGAGAGGGGTGTTCTAATTGCCTGCTTCGCAGAAGAATAGACAGTATGGGACATCTGGGTAAAAAGTTCCACTGAGATGGTTGTGTGACAATCAATAGCTGCCATGTGGCAGAAGAGGAAAAAGTGTCTCTGATGAGCCAGTGCTCTGGGAAAACACACCACTGAACAATGGAAACAGCATACTGTAGTGTGTGTTCATGGAGCCATTCTACACATTAGCAGCACTAGATACAATAAGGATTTAAGCTCCGAGTGTTTGCTAGCATTTTTAAAAAAAATTTATTTATTTATTTAACATTTAGAGTGTGTGTGTGTGTGTGTGTGTGTGTGTGTGTGTGTGGCCAGCTCAGCCCACCAGGGGGCGGGACTGGCTGGTATGTGGTGCTGGGGGATTGAACCGTGGTCCCTGTCCTGTGCTTTGCCAAGCTTGTTCCAAGTAGGTGCTTTAGACCACTGAGCCATCTCACCAGCCCCCTTGCTAGCATTTTTTAAGATGCCAAGTCTCCCTGAAGCAGGACACGAATCTCCCCAGTTCCAAATAGAAAAGGGAAAAGCCCTACTATTCCTGGGGCACTGCAATCCCCCGGCATTCCCTGTGATAACACTCCTCCTCCACAACAGCCCTTTGAGTTAGGGATTATTTTTTCCTTTCAGTTAGGGAAGATCAAGTTTAAACTACAAATAGCAGGAATTTAGGGTCTTCTAGTTCCAGGTTTTGTGTGTTCCCTCTTTTTGAGACAGGGTTTTGCTATGCAGTTCAGGCTGGCTTTGAGCTTACTTTGTAGCCTAGGCTAGTCTCAAACTCACAATGATCCTCCTGTTTCAGCCTCCTAAATGCTGAGATTACAGGCATATGCCACCATGCCTGGCTCCAGCTAGCTCCTTCTTACTAGGCAATTTAGAAAAAATAACAAGAACTTTGATAAATAAGGCAATATCTTCCCAGTACTTTCTTTGTGAGCTGTGTGTTTCCTAGAGTTCCTCCCAGTATGTTGGGTGAGATGCTTAACATGTTTCAGATTTACCAGGATAAGATGCAACTCCCAGAGGGAGGCCACAGAGTAGTTAGATCCTCCCTAGAATCCCTGTGGAACTCAGTGGAGATCTGGGGAGACAGATCCAAGACCAGACACTGAGGGCTGGGGAGATAGTTTAGTGGTGTAAGTGCCTGCCTGGTAAGCACAAGGTCATGAGTTCAATCCCCCATGCTAAAAAAAAAAAAAAAAAAAAAAAAGAAGAGAACGTTGAGTGGTGATACACTCCTATAATCCTAGCACTCTGGAGGCTAAAGCAGGATAATAGTCACAAGTTGGAGGCCAGCCTGAGCTAAGGTGTGAGTTCAAGGCCAGGGTGAATGAACTGCCTAGTGAGACCCTGTCTCGTACGTACAAATAAAAGAAGACGTTGACACCAACACCAGCATCAGTAGCCAGGCTATGATGCTCTTTAGCTGTGTGACTTTGCATGTGACCTTTGCCCATTCTGTGTGCTACTTTCCTCACCTGTGAAATGAGATGGTGACCATAACAGTACTTACTTTGTGGTTGGATTAGGCAAACTGGATGCTAATCCTTGCAAAAAGACTTAAAATAGTGGTTGGCACATGTAATTACCCAACGAATGTTAGCTTTTTCGTGTAATGGTGCTTGAAGTGCCCACGGCCTTCTTTCTGTCTAGCTTGAGTTTTTCTTTCACACAGAGACTTGCAGAAGGCCCCTCTGAACCCTCAAAAACGCAGTTTCACAGTACGTCATTGTCTTAAAGCAGCTTTCAACCCTGACTCCAGATGATCGTAACGTCTCTGAGTTTTCTTTGATCAATATTTCATTGAGTGGAAGACATTTTAGGGACTGGGGGATAGAAAGCCCATGTTCCATGGCTACCTGGCCAGATGCCAGCAGAACCCTGACTTCATGACACAGAATTTAGTATGTGTGCTCCTTCTGTGAAGCCCTTCTTTCCCCACCGGCTCCCCCTATAAGGTCTCCCTCTTCACCATCACCCTCTTGTGTCTCTAAGTGCCTGGAATTACCTCTGATTCTCGGAAGCTTGAGATTCACTGATCATACAAAAAGTATTTTATCTGACCTCGTACCTGCAAATTCTTTCCATTGGGATTTCTCTGTGTCCGGCTCCACCCTGGCCCACAGGGACCTAAATGATCCTGTGTGGGACCACCAGGCCTCAGGGATTCCAGATATAATAGCAGGTTCTCCTAATGGAGGCTGAAACATCATTAGGCATTTCTGCACTGAGACACAAGGGTCCCTCCAGCCAGGCCTCTGGTGCCTGTCACAGCACAAAGCAATCTTTACTAGCGTGTGGGAGTGGCAGGCTGGAGGGGTTCCGCGTTTCTGGAAGGTCTTCCTCTTCCCTTTCCAACTGTCTGCCCCCCAGATCTCCAGTATGGACATTCTCTACATTGGCTGTCTCCACTTAGAATTCAGATTTATTTATTGCCTTTGATATCCCTTGTCTATGATCCAGGCTTCCTAGAATAAGGTGGAGCTGGCAATCAGAGCAGCCAGAGTCCAGATGGCAATTTTCATCCTAAGAACAGCAGACAGCCATCTTTCTTAAGAGTTAAGAGTTGGGGATCTGGGAATGCGCAGGAGCGAAGGGAGTGGCTCAATGGGAAAGAAAAAACATGAAGATGTCCCTGAATGGGTGATATCTGGGGGCGAAGGACCTGGAAGTCAACGTTTTAGCTTCCCAAGTATCTTCTCAAAAACATACGGGAAATTTTTAAATTTTATTTTTAAATTTTATTTAAATGTACACATGTAGGGGCTGGGGATATACCTCAGCAGCACAATTGTCTGCCTGGCAAGTGCAAGGTCCTGAGTTCGATTCCTATTCAAAAAAAAAAAATGGTACATGTTTTACAGATGACAATGTGAAATTATATCTATATTTAGATGTATAACCTGGAAAAGGTAGAAAATATATTTAAAAATTGCCTTGGGGTGGATGTGTAGTCGTGGCTCTTTTTCTCCAAATCGTGCTTAAATGTCATTCCTTATTTTTTAAAAAAATAACAATACTGGAGATCCGCCCAGGTCTCCTGGGATCAATCTCTCTCCAAGGCAATGTGGTTTTGGGCGCCAGTCTGCAAACTTGAATGTATCGTGTCAAAGTCACACTTAAGCCATTTTCTCCGGGAACTAATTCCTCCTTAATGGGGATGGGATTATTTCTAATTTGCAGCCCTAATAGCAACGTCACGCACGAAAGGCTGGGGTTAGCGTCTTGAGCTTCAAACCTTTGTCGCAAATATAAAAGGTGGAGGAGAGGACGAAGAAGAAAAAAAAAAAGGAGCTTGTGTAATACGGCAGCCCATCGTAACCGCCTCCGCGGCCCAGCCCTGGCTGGGCCATCAACAGGAGGCAGGGCCGCTACGCACCTCTTCCGCAGGAGCCAAGGGCTGGAGGTCGTCGCGCCTCGCTGTCCCCGGCCGCGCCCAGAAGCGTCGGAGCCGCGGGGAGGTTGAGGGGAGTAGGTAACAGCATCGCCATGGCAACAGTGACGTCCTTTTACCCTGGATCTAATTGGAGGAAACCCCGTGGCTGAAGCAGCAGCCTGCCGACCAACCAAACTTGGGTTGACCCACCCTCCTAGCCTCCTCTTCCCTTCGCGTCCCACCCCTCGCGCCCCCTTCCGCGCGCTTGATTCTCATTGGTTAGCGGCAGGGCGGAAGGCGGGACTCCATGGGGAAATGCGACTCTGTACTGGGTGTCTTCCCACACCTCGGCTCTTGTTAGGTTGAGACGGGAGGGTCCTCGGCTAAAGCCAAAAGCTGATCAAAGTGGTGGGACTCTCGACGCTGTCGCGGAGAAGAGAAGGTGAGGCCCTGGGCGGCGTCTTCAGGCCGTAGTGGAGTGAGGTGGGGGGGGTCTGAGGGCCGGCGGGGGAAGAGAGGGAGAAGCTCTCTGGAGCGACCAGCCATCGACGCCTCTCGCCTCAGGGAACGACTCACGGCGGGAAGGTGCGGAGCCAACGGCCGCTTCCATCTTGGGCTGGCCGGGCGGGGGTGGAGGGCTCGACTGGCCCCGGGCTTGCGCGCCGGTCTTCCCCTCCTTCCGCGTGGGCCTCGTTCATTCCGGCGCCCGGAACTAGCGGCGGGCGGGGGAGGGAAATTGAAGCGGAACGCTTGTACGCGGAGACAAAGCGGGCGGCGGGCCGCATTGTCTGAAGCGCTCCCCTCCCTGCTTTTTGTCCTCGCCGGCGCCGCCCCGCCCCTTCAGCTCTCGAGGCGGACTCCTCCCGATCCGGGTCGGCGCGCGCCCTTGCTCTCCTTCGCTCGCCTAGCGCTTGGCTCCCAGGTCCCGACAGATATCAGCGCCATGGAGAAGACCGAGCTGATCCAGAAGGCCAAGCTGGCCGAGCAGGCCGAGCGCTACGACGACATGGCCACCTGCATGAAGGCAGTGACTGAGCAGGGCGCCGAGCTGTCCAACGAGGAGCGCAACCTGCTCTCGGTGGCCTACAAGAACGTGGTCGGGGGCCGCCGGTCTGCCTGGAGAGTCATCTCGAGCATCGAGCAGAAAACCGACACCTCCGACAAGAAGTTGCAGCTGATTAAGGACTACCGGGAGAAAGTAGAGTCGGAGCTGCGGTCCATCTGCACTACTGTCCTGGTGAGTCCGAGTGGGGTAGCGAGGGGCGGCGGGGCGCACAATCCTTTTTGTGCGATTTGGTCCTTCCGTGGGAGTTTGGTGGGCACGGGCTTGTCTGGAGTCTCCAGGGTAGAGGGATTGCAAGGGTGAGCAAACCCAGGCAGCCTTACTGGGTTGTTTAGTGCTGGAGACTCCCAAGAAGTTGCTTTGCCAAGGTGAGTAAACCTACCTGATGCTCGGTTGCTAAAACTTTGAAGCATCCAAGAAAATTTGCCCAAGACTGAAAATGGTCGCTAATCTTGCACGGGGAAATTGTACTTGAGTATCCTTTAGTCCTCTGAAAGTCTACTCAGTTCACAGGCTTCCAGCAGCTGAAAGAAGGCATACAGACGTTTTCCACAGAGGCTCAGCAGTAGGTTTTCCACCCATACCTAATAATGGAAAATCGAAACAGATACTTCATTTTCAAGGAGTTCTCTGTTGAGCTTTTCCTTGGTAAGAAGGGGGAGGCCAGGCAGTAGAAGTGCAAAGGACTGAGCCAAATATAAAGAACAAAATGTTCTGGTCAATTTAGGTGCAGTATTTAGTAACATTCCCTTGTTACTGAATAGCTACACTTGAGCCCTGATGTATTGGAATGAATTCATTTATGAAATGGTAGGGAGAGTGAGAGAACAAGAAAGCTTTCCAGGTTTGAACTGTCCAGTCTTACTTAAAATGGGTGACTCTTGGGTGGAGTAGGTAGCAGCTTTTGTTCACCCTGATTAGTTTTAACTTTGACTTGGTACAGATTGTCTGATCAGTGAGTTTTTAGAATTTAAATACCAGCACTGTTCTTGAGTGTTATTAGATGCCTTCGTGCTACAAAAAGTTGTTTCTACAAATGAAGTAGAAAAAATTGAGTGTGGCTTGTGTGGGGAAGAAGAGGAGTAGTGATTTTTGATATATTCTTTCCACAGTTTGCTTAGGTGGGTTTTGAAAGACAAGCATGCTAGATTGACTTCTCCAAAGGGAATATAGCTAGCAGGGAAGTTCATTTTGACCTCAGGGCTTTTCTTTATCATATCAGACTGGTGGAGCAGGGAATTTTTCTCCCTTGTAAAAACCTCTTAATTTTGTTCTGATAAAAATACAATTAATTTGAATAAGATTATGGCCAGTGGAAATAGCTTGGTAAAGAGGCAAAAAAGCAATGTAGAGAATGTGTACTGAAGTGAAGGCAACTTCATTGAGATTATTTGTGTTGTGAAGGCAAGACTCCATTATATTCATCTATATACACTTAGCTTCCAGTCCCCGATCTGAATTGCTTATCTGTGAGCAATTTGTGAACTTAAAATGATGATATACTTAAGGTGTTTGTGTGTGTTCTTGTTCTGGAGATCAAACTCAGGCCCTCTTCAATAGTGTAATAGTTACTACGCAATTCATAGTGTATTGTAATGACTGCTGACAGCATTGCCTAAGTGTAAGAATTCCTAATGCTGAGAAAGCGTTCCATGTATGTATTGATTTTGGACATTCTAATGGTATGTTTCACTTGCTTTTCCCTTGTTATTTGTAGTTCATTGGTTACCTTGTCAAATTCAAAATTGCCATAGTTTTCCTGTTAGCTAGTTAACTCAGGGCAAAAGAATCTTTATTTTATTTTGTAGAACCATGACAAGAAAAACCTAGAGAGGAAGGTAGGCAACATAATTTATTAGAGAAAGTCACGGGGAGGTTTTCATTAATTTGATTAGCAGTGAGGAGACATTAAAGATTCTTCCAATATTGTAGGTGTAGCAGCATCTAGACCTCAGGCTTGAGTGCCAACTAACCAGCCAGTCATCTGAATTCACTGGCAAGGAAGTAGTAGACTCCAAACAGGAATGATTGAGATTACTTATTTAATTAGTGGTGTTTGGAGAGGGGTTTGTATGTTCTTGTTCTGGGGATCAAACTTAGGCCCTCTTCAATAGTGTAAAAGTTACTAGGCATTCTGCCTCTGCTCTGACTTCTTTCCACCTCTAAAGTGAATAGTTTTACAGTCCAAGTTCAAGGAAATGATGTACAAGATACATGAAGTGTTTAAAAACCAGTGACCAGTGAAATGGCTTCAGTACAAGGCAATGCCAGAGTCATTGGTGATTTTACTAATATTGGAAAGAGCTAAGTTTAACCAAAAACTGGGAAGTTGCTAAACACCATGAGTAAAATATTTGGGAGTCATTAAGAATATGGATGCAAAAGAGGAAGAATCTAGAGGGATCCATAAAGCCTTTGAACAAGATCTCTCATTTAGTTTGTGACCTTGGATTGGGAGCCAGACAATTAAGATAATGTGTAAGATGACCCCTTACACATTGTCTCAGCACCATTGTCCCTTCCTATAAGACTAATACTGGCCTTTATTTAGTAGTCTGCTTTAGTATAGTGTACAATTTACAAATCTTTTGCGTTTTTTTTTCTAATAAGAATCGTTAAATAGTATGTAGAGTCTAAAAGATGTGTCTGTGATTGTGTAAGAGCTTTGTAACTGTATGTCGGTAGTACTTCAATTTAATTTTGTTTTAACTTGTTATTAGAAATGTGTCTTTTATACTGGTTATTATTTTGGAATAAGACTGTAGGGCAAATAGGTAAATGGATGCACCTTGAGACTATACTCTTACATGAAATAAATCTGGTAAACATAAATACATCGTTTCTCTTGTGTGAGATAAATAAAAGAAGTTGAAAGTAAGACTATAGCATCCCATTACCTTGTAGTTCAATGAGCATGGAAAATTTTTTTTCTTCCTTTCCCTCCTTTTTTGCAGTATTAGAGATGGAACCCAGGTCTCTGGCCCCTTACCTTACTAGGCAGACACTGAGCTACATGCCCTGCCCATTTAAAAGTTTGCTTTGAGACAGTCTCTGGAAGTTGTTCACTGTGGCTTCAAATTTGAATCTTGCTGCCTCCCAAGTAGCTGAAATTACAAGCATGCACCCCCATGCCTGGCTAAATATTTTCATATTTCAACCTGTTTCTTTATCTGTAGATTGGTGATCATGGTGTCCTTATAATAACTTACATTCATAGGCATTTACTGAACACTAATTTTGTTCCCATAGTTAGGTTGATAGAAAGGAGATGCTGGGACAGAAGGATCATAAGCTCAGGGCCAGTCTAGACAATTTAGCAAGATCCTGTCTCAAAGTTAAAAGAAAAGTGGGCTAGGTTGGGACTTCCTGGGGATGAACATTAGTAGTAATAGCATCCGTGAGGCCCTGGTTTCAATACCCTGTAGTGCACACATTAAAGTGGGGGCAGCTGAGGCATAAGATGCTACTAATGTGGTCAGGATTGCAACACTAGTTAAATGATAGAAAAGATTTTGCCCAAATTGTGTGATTCCATGTGAAAAGAAGTGAATTGGGTGTGGTGGCACATGTGTGTGGTCCTAGCAGTGGGGAGGCTGAGGCAGGAGGATGGCTGTGAGTTTGAGGCCAGCCTGGGCTCTCCATAGTGAGTCAAGGCCAGCCTGAATTAATATAGCATATAGCATGAGCCTGACTCCAAAGAAAAGTGTGACACAGTAGTCCTCAAATGCATAACAGCTGATTTAAGATCCAAGACCAGTGCTCTGAGGGAATTTGTATTTCAATAAATAGGAGACATTAACAATAACAATTTAGGAGGGAGAGAACATAGATCTTGGGTGCACAAAACTCTTGAGTCTGTAATACTTCTTTATATATATAAGATATTTTAGCAAAAATTTAAAACTCAGCATTTGGGTGTTTTACCTCTAGATTAAAAGCTTTTTGAAGTTGAAAGTTTTTTTGTATTTTGTTGTTGTTTGTTTTTCTTCAAAATCTGATATAGGGAGGATGCAATGGCTCCCTTCCCCAGTCTTGACAGGGTGTGTGGCTGCAGCAGCCCACCAGAATCTAGCACGAATCCTTTGGTGTCAGTAATGGGGAGGCCTAGATTCCATCCCAGATGCCTCCCCTACAGGGCCCAGGCTGTGGGGCCAGGACTGCGGATGGCCTGGACGGATGCCTCCTGTTGGCAGTGAGTGTCCTTGTAGCCAGGGTGGGTCCAGGCAGCTCACTGAATTCTTCCTATACATGCAAGTGTCTCCATTAAAGATGGGGTTGGGGAGCAGGACCCTCCCTCCCACCTAGAACTGGGGGCTTCCTGAACTCTGATCCTTAACCTCTCACGTGAGGCTGTGGCTCAGGAAGATGTCCCACCCCATACTTGAAGTAAAAACTTTAAAGGTGAAGTGGAATGGAATGGAAACAAGGTTAGATCAGTGTTTCTCAACCAGGATGTGTTTGCCTGCGCTATACCCCCTGGGAGCCCCTGTGGCAGCATCTGGACAGATTTTTTCACTCCCATTTGAGATTGGAGGGGTTGGGGTGGGGAGGGATGTTCTTTTGCTGATACTCGAGGCACAGACGGAATACTCAGGTATCATGCAGCACAGCTCTGCTGGTCCCCCCAGAATTACTCCACAGTCCACAGTGCCAGTACGGTGTCAGCAGAGCTCAGCAGCCCCATAACGCATGCAGCACTATGATGGGTTTTATCTTACCTGGGGTTTAGGTTTAGGCGTCTTGATTGAACCTTTTGTTTAGACTTGTCACTTTGCATTCACTGCTGTGTGTGCCATTTAGCTGTCCAGTTCACTTTATTGGAATTTGTTTACAGACTCCTATATTTTCAGTATCTTTTGATTGCCTCCAAAGCCTGGGATTTGCTGTCTGTAATTTGTTTATTTTAGGTTTTTGTTGTTGATATATGTATATTTTTAGGGAAAGGTCTACAGGGTGTTTAGGGTCTCACCACTAGATCGGACTCGTAGTGATCCACCTTTTTTACAGCCTCCCAAGAGCTGGGATTACAGGTACATGCCACCATGCCCAGTCTCAGTTGCCGTCTGAGTGTGCCCCGGGCATGGCAGGCCTGGGCATGCCCTGGGATCGAACCCCCGACCTTTAATCCACTGAACTATTTGACTGGCTTTATTGTTCTTTTTGAGACAGGGTCT